CCATTTTCTTGTCAAAATGCAATTAAGTTAGAAACATTTTTAAAGACATATTTTTTTTTTTTTTTTTTTTTTTTTATAAGATGACCGGTAAGGGGATCTTAACCCTTGACTTGGTGTTGTCAGCACCACGCTCAGCCAGTGAGCAAACCGGCCATCCCTATATGGGATCCGAACCCGGGGCCTTGGTGTTATCAGCACCGCACTCTACTGAGTGAGCCACGGGCCGGCCCCTAAAGACATATTTTTAAAAACCTATACTATTGGAAATTTAAAAACATTTATGGGTCAAAGAAACATGAAAATCAAAAACATACTTAGATCTGAATAATAACAAAAGTACTACAAATCAAAATTTGTAGGAGGCAGCTAAAGCAGTATTAAGGGAAATTGATAGCCTTAAGGCCGAAAAGAAGGAAGTTGAGTTTCTAACTATAACAGGAGAAAAATATATCCATAAAGAGAAGAAAAAAGGGATTAATAAGGATAAGAGCAGAGGGAATAAGATAGGAAACAAACATACAATAAACTGGATCAATAAATTTGTTGGTTCTTTGCAAAAACTAATAAAATTGGCAAACCTTTGGCAAGACTGATTAAGATATAATGAGAGGCATCATAAATAATCAAAATTAGGGGAAAAATCAATGTTAAATGCAATTTTAATTTGCACATTAAAAATCAATAAAGGGCCGGCCCGTGGCTCACTCGGGAGAGTGCGGTGCTGATAACACCAAGGCCATGCGTTCGGATCCCATATAGGGATGGCCGGTTAGCTCACTTGGGAGAGCGTGGTGCTGACAACACCAAGTCAAGGGTTAAGATCCCCTTACTGGTCATCTTATTAAAAAAAAAATCAATAAAGAGGCAGTGTAATACAGTGGTTAAAAGTATGAATTCTAGAGCCAGACTACCTGGTTTGAATTGCAGCTCTATGACTCACTACCTGTGTGATCTTGGGGAAACTACTAAACTTCTCTACGCTTCGGTTTCCTCATATGTAAAATGAAGATAACAATCATAGTCTGTATCTTAAAAAGTTGTTATAAGGATTAAATTAATTAGTACTTGGAAAGTACTTAGAATATTGCCTGGTATATAAAAAGTATTACACAAGTATTTGCTAAAAAAATTATTGAGCAAGCTCAAGAAACAGATAAGTTTAATTTTCACAAATCTTTTAGAAAAGAGAAAAAGTTAGAATATTCCCCAACTTATTTTATGAGGCTGGTATAAATTTAACACTAAAACCTGACAAGGACAATATGAGAAAAGAAAAGTATAGATCAATCTAACTCATGACCACAGATGAAAATCCTAAACAAAATATTAGTTAACCAAACCCAGCAATACTAGTATATAAAGGCTCAACATGAGAAAATCTATTAATGTGATTTACTATACTAATGGATTAAAAAAGAAAAATTCATATAATCAAAATAGATTCATGTCAAGCATATTAGAAAAATTAACATCCATTTAAGGAAGGTAAGAAAAAACCCTTCCTTAACCTTCTAAAGGGTATCTAAAAAACCTACAACAAATATTCTTTCCAACTAATGAAACCATAAAAATATTTTCTTTAAAGTCAGAAGAAAGGCAGCAGACCCAACACTTTCACAATGTTGAACTGTACTCCTAAGTAATGCGATAAAGAGGATGTAGGATCGGGGGAAAGGTTGCAATGATTGGAGGGAAAAAAAAGCCAAAAAATTATTCTTATTTGCAAGCAATTTGTACAGAAAATCCAAGAGAATCTATAGACAAACACTTGGACCTAATGTTTATTAAGATTCCTGTGTACAAGATTAATAAGCAAACATCAATACTATTCATATACAACAGCAACAACCTATAAGAAAATAATTTTTTTATTATCACATTCATAATTGCAGCAAAAGCCATGAAGGACCTAGGAATAAACCTAGCAAAAGATGTGCAAAATCTTTAGAGAAAAAATTATAAAATTTTATTGAAGGACATAAAAGAAGATGTTATAAATGTTTATGGATGAAAGACTCAAATATCATAAAGATGTCAATTCTCCCCATCCCCACCCAATTATTCTACATACTCAGTATGTTCCATTAAAAATCCCAAAGTTCCTACCATGGATCTTAGCTGATTCCCCAATTCACAAGGAAGAGAAAAGAACAAGAGTCTGGATCTTAAAAGAGGGAAAAAGTGAGGGATTCATTCAATATTAGAGCAAGGCTTAAATGAAATCTATAATAGTAAAAACAGTGTGGGAGTGGTCTGAGTATGGACTAAATAGAATGCCCAGAAACAGACCTTAAGTATGGAAACTTGTGTGTGACTGGCAAAATCGGTGAGAAAACGATGGGTATTCAATAAAAGGTATCGGAACAATTGATTATCCACGTGGAAAAAAAATTTAAATTGGACCTCTATATGCTACCATACGCACAAATGAATTCTTTGTGATTTTACAATGCTTCAAAATGGGAGTATTGAAGTATCCAGAACAAAGCTCAGGAAAGTGCAGCGCTAAAAGATCAAATCTGGATCACATCCTCATGCTGGCTTTGATTACCAATTCAGTCTTCAGGAATTTTGTATTTCTTTAAACAACTACAATATTATAGTTCAAGAAAGACCCAGGTCTCTTGAGAAGGATCATTATGTACAAGTATGGGCAAAGAGAAGCAAGGAAAGAAATAAAAATGCATAATATAAAGACAGTTCCCAAATTTAACAACATCTCACTTTGAGGCAACCTGAATTTAAATGACTCATAAGTATTGTTTCCAAGTATACCAGAAAGTTTGCCATGATTTTTTGTATAGCATTTTTTGTTTTGTTTTTTGCAGCTGGCTGGTACAGGGATCAAACTCTGGACCTTGGTATTATCAGCACCATGCTCTAACCAAGCGAGCTAACCAGCCTGCTGGTATAGTTCTTTATCTCTAATAAGCTCAGAGCAAATTTAAAATACACAAACAAACAAAAACAGTAGGATAGTTCACAGCTCACCAAAGACCTGAAGTGACTTACAATTAATGAGTTTAGAATCACATAGGAAATGGAGGCATTTGTTTAAATTATATATTCTAAACTTGGGCCACTAGATTTACCTTTTTTCCTAGATGAAGTAAAAAGCAAAAAAAAAAAAAAAAAAGGATTCCTTGCCAGTCACACACATAAATTTTAAAGATAACCCAAAATCTGAGCGTTAGCATTTTTGTAAGGCTACTTTATTTTCTTAGCCTACCTACCTGAATATTCTGGCAATATTCGTACAGACGTCCTTGTCACCCACATACTGTTCCATCACTGTGCAGAGCTGGGGAAGGGCATCGATGTTCAGGAACTTACTTCTTGCTAGTGGCGAATCAACCAAGTTTCTCAATATAGCAGTCATCTAGGATAAAAGCACGTTTGTGCCATTTTTTAAAACTGGAAAATATAGCCATGCTAAACAGCATGGTACAATTCATCCCATAAACGTCATCATATCAGTCGCTACATCAGCACCGCACTCTCCCGAGTGAGCCACGGGCCGGCCCCTTCAGTTGCTACATCAAGTCATTTATCCATCTCCCACCAGATAAGATGTGCCTACACACAAGTAGCAAGAAATGAAAACAAACCAAAAAAAAAAAAAAACTCCTAGTTTGATTCAAAGGTAAAGAGTGGAATATTAATACTAATAAGCAATGGTATACCAAAACCCAGGGTTAAACAAATCATCATCTGGTTTTATTAAAAGTCTTAAGATCTTCAGTTAACCCTGCGATAACCACATCAGTTCCAAATCCCAGCCCCACCACTCAGTTATCATTTAGCCTCCCAGGGCACACTTTTCGTGTGAGTAAAGGTTGGGTGGTGATAACTGCCCCAGAGTTGTGAGGATTCAATAAGATAAGAGACATGAATGGCATTGCCAGTGCCTACCTAAGGAAGCTCAAAGTCGTGTCTCCCCACCCTTCTTGTGGGACTTCACACCCAAAATGCACAAGAAGAGAGAACACTGGCCTTAGAGTCAAATGATGGGGACTCAAGTCCCAAACCTGTTCCTAGGTATGTGACAGGGGGCAGTCACTCACTCTTCAACTTCCCTATTTCCTCATCCGTGAAAAGGGGGTTACAGTCCCTCCTCTCTTCTCAGGGTGGTTGTGTGTATCAAATGGAAAACAAGTAGCCATGTTTTGGTACACTGTAAAGCATCGTGCAAA